ATAATTCTTAAGTATATTTTACGGTATTTCTTCTCGTATTATATATTACTTCGCTCTATCGTTCTTCCTTTAGAAGTTCGTCGAACTTTTCTTTCTTCTAAGTCTTACGCTTAGATTCCTTAGGCTTCTTAGTCTAATACTTTAACTAGAACTCTTCTTCTAATTACTTAGTATCTAACTTACCTAATCCTCGGGAGTTATTCGATTCCTAGTAGTCCTTCTATACTAGTTTATCCTTACCCTCGGTAGGTCTTTAGGTTTTTTTAATAGTATCGGCCTTTTTCGCTATTAAGCCGTCTATACTATCGCTCTATATATTTATTATATATAGTCCTCGAGCGCTCTTCTTTTCTAGGTAATTATATATATAGTATTCGGACTTACTATATCTATAGTATAGGTTCTCCTTCCTTTATCTTTCCTTTTCTCGATCTCGTCCTTCTATAACCTTTCGCCCTATATTCCGGCCTCTACCTAGGCCTATTCGTCGGGTATTATAACGTTCTATAGCGTCTAGGTTTATAGGGTCTCCGTAGTCTCGTAGGCGTTCCGTATTAGCTCGAGGAGAATACCGATACTTCCGGTACTCTCGTCTTCCTAAGCTCCTTCCTTAATTATCTTCTATACGTAGCTCGTATAGTCGATTATTAAGTTTAATAGCTTTATCTACTATATCTTTATACGTTTTCGGACGCTCTATTATTTCCTTCCTAACTTCCTTCTTTAATCTATTATAGAACGTATCCTTAAAGATATTATCGTCTATATACTCTAGTTCCTTTACTAGTTTCTTAAATTCCGAATAATAATTAGCTATAGATTCTATTTATTTAAGGATATAAATAGTACGAGAGGCTACTATAGCCTTATTAACTATACCGTAAATCTATTTAATTATTACTTCGAACTACGTAAAGTTCCTAAAATATACCTTAGTTTCGTTATCGGGGCTAGAGGACTCGAGATAGTCGTCCTATACTAGTTTAAACTAATAGAACGCTACTCCTTTTAGGTATATTACTATAAATATAACCTTATCTTCTACCCTAGTATACTTAGTTAGATTAAGCTTAAAGGTAGTCTTAAGTTATATAAGGAAGTATTCTAGCTTCTCCCTATTTCCATAGAATAGTTCTACCTTAATACTATCCCGAGATATATTAGTAAGTCCTAGTACGTTAACTATATCTACGTCTAAGTCTTCGTTAGAACTACTATCTTAAACGATATTAGTCTTTAAAGAATTATTTAAGGCTATAAGTAAACGTACGCTAGGTAATAGGGATCTAAGTCGCGATAATCCTATATTAGATATCTAATATTAATTAAGAGGTAGTTAAAGTATTATAATCCGAGCTATAAGTAGTTCTAACTAAGGTAGGGTTCCTTAATAGAGTAGGTATTAGAGTGTTAACTAAGATAATAAAGGGAATACTTATTCGTCGGACTATATCCTAAAATATAGGTATAGGATTACTAACGAAGTTAACTATAAACTTCTCTATCTAGGTAAAGGAGCGTATATATATAATACTAGTAGCTCTCCTAGATCCTATAGCTCCCCCTAGATCTCTCGAGATCCCGTGAGATCTAAGGGATCTAGGGGATCTAGCCTAGTCACCTAACTTAGCCTCGTTCTCTATCGGCTAACCTTCTTCCTTAGGTAGGTGCCTTGATTCCCTTGGCAACCTTTCAAGTGACCTAGTTCGTAATACTTTCGTCGTATAGAGTCGGATTTCTATATAGCGCTTACCGTCGTAGAAGTCGTTACTTTAAGCGTACGAGCTCGTACTCTATTCTATTAGCCGAGTTAATTCTCGAGTACTATTATCCTTTAGTTTTAAGCCTATAAGAGCTAGTATAGCTCTACCGCCTACGCTAGAGCGATTTTCGTTAGTTACTATTCGTTATCTATTTCGTACGCGGTACTCTTTTACTACGTATAATAGAAAGCTTTAGAATAATATAAGGGTTTAGCTAGAAATTTAGAGTAATTCGTCTAACTACCGTATAACGAGGATTCTAAAGCTAAGAAGAGAAAAGAAAAGAGAAAATCTATCTACTATACGAATAAAGGAAATACTTCCTAGCCTCTCCTATAGTAGGTTAGTATAGTTTCCTAGGAGATAATTAATAGAGAGGAATTATATAGCTTCGGCTATATAGTTATATAGCCTAAAGGTATACTACGAGTAATCGCTCTAGGGCGTACTCTAGAGCTTTATACGGATTTAACCCGTAATAGTTCGTAATTTTAAGACGACGCGCGTTCTAGTTACGAACGAATTTAGAAGATCGGCGGCTCTTCTTAATACCTAGGGACGATATAGTTAGCTATAAGAAGAGAATATAAGAATTATAACGAAGAGGGAGTAATTACCTTAAGTACGTCGAGGATAATGTAGATAGAAGGAGGAAATAGTATTACGAACTAGGTTATAGATAAGGTCGCTAGGATAGGCGCCCTACGTTCTAAGGGATAGTTAAGGAAGGTTAGCCGATAGAGAACGAGGCTATATTACGTAACTAGGGGATATATTACTATATTACTATATTACTTTAATATAATAATGTACTAAAGTAGTACTTTAAGTATTATATATATACGCTCCTTTACTTAGATAGTATAGTTCGTAGTTAACTTCGTTAGTAATCCTATACCTATATTTTAGGATATAGTCCGACGAATAAGTATTCCCTTTATCGTCTTAGTTAATACTCTAATACCTACTCTATTAAGGAACCCTACCTTAGTTAGAACTGCTTGTAGCTCGGATTATAATATCCTCGTAATAGGATTCGATAGCTTTACTAGCTCGTAAGTAATAATCCCTAACTATTAACGTAGTCTTTAATAAACATTAACGCTAACAAGACTAGACTAATAATAATGGGTCTTAAAACTAAGGATAGAGTATACATTAAGGATTTATAGAAGGATGGCGTAAATATATATCTCGGAGTCTTCGTCCACGGAATACGGAACGCTTTCCTTCTCTATTCTCCCCAGGGTAAGTCTATAGCTCACCAGCTAAATGTACATCACAAGGCCGCTAACTATATTCTAGCTCCCACGGCACTTACTAATAGACCGACATTAATTAAATGCTAGGTAGATCTTATGATTAAAGCCATTAAAAAGGTTAAAGCGATGAATGGAACAGCTATAGAAGTAAAAGCCGACGCCTAAACAGAGTGGAGCGAGTTATGTAACAAGATTGTGAAAGGCACTCTCTTCCCACTAGTAGGCTCCTGGTGGATAGGAGCTAATGTTCCTAGCAAAAAGACTTAGATATTTAACTTTATCGGTGGGCTTAACTACTACGAGAAAGTATACCGCGACGCATTAAACACCTCTAAGGGTTTCGACATTACGACGGGCAAATCATCCTAGTCGACACAGCAACCCGAGAAGCTGAATACGGTGGCTGGTATTAGTGATCTAGTTACGGCATAATATGTCAATAAAACTATTCCATAGACTTTGTTGAGTGTCCTATTATTAATATCTGAGATGTTAATCTACGAAGTACTAGTTAGAACTCATTAAATTGACCCTAAACATATCTTAGGTACCTTCAGGTATCTATCACGACTTATCTTAGCAGGCCATTCTCCTTGGCAGACGAACCACTCTATCTACGCTATCTTGACGCCCTGGCATACCCCGCTAAGCACTAAATCGTCTTCACCCTAGGTGGAATGAAACATCACCTTACCACTGAAATTCAGAAGAGAGGATAATTGTTTCTTAAATGGGATTTATCTACCACTACCCTGATCATACGTCCAGGACAACTTCTTAAACTACTCTAGTGAATATATATTGTGCTGAAGCTGCAAGATAATACTAGAAAGGTTACCCCTATAAATGAAACCTTACAACTCGTTCTTCGAGATTCCATCTTTACCACCGAGTGAAGGGATAGCATCGCTAAATATCACACTCTCATAGCCAACCATGATGGAAGTATTACCGAGAAATCGTCTCGAGTCGCCTGCAGCATTGTTAGTTACGCTCGGCGATTTCAAATATCTCGTTTAGTCTGTGAAGAAGTTCTACGTACTTGCTAATACTGATTTGAACTCGGGACTATCCGCAAAAGATTTCTAGTCACCCAAGTCCTTCACGTACATCTCGGTGCATCCATCGTATGGCATAACTATTATACTAAGGGAAGCGGCCATTACCTTTATCTTAGTCGTTTAGTGATACTGTGAACAAGATAGTCAGCGAGAAAGGAGCATTATACATTAATATTAATTCGCCCTAAATCCTGTAAGGGAATAGCCTAGGAGCGTAGACCTAGACATAGCGCAGGATAGAGACATCGCTAATTACTCTCGTAGCCACAGTTAGATCTGCATAGACTATCTCCTAGTGTTTATAAAATTCTTCATCACTGATATTAGGTTTTTTGTTCAGGAAGAACATGATTTTGCAATATAGCTGTCGATTTCCCCCGCCCTTCCCAAATAGCCTTTCAAAAGAGGCATTCTTTGGCGTCTCGTCCAGCCCCATTGTACTAGTGATCAACTGCTCACCAAACTAGTGAAGATCATGGAATTGGGATCGGCACGACTGGTCATGGAGGGTGGTATATCTTCTAGAGCGAAGTTCGGGTTCATCACGAATTAAGCTCAAAGCTGAAACTATAAAAGCCGGACTGTAGGAAGTCCATAGCCGACGTAGTCTCCGGGAAGTGCCATCTCAATACCCATCGTGGGGTATCGAATGCCTGCCACAATGACGTCTACGAAAGACTCGAGATATGAAGTATCTAGGTAGTGTCACTCAGTTCTAAGCCGTCCTTCTGGTGTGTGACTTGCTCCTACTCGATTGTGTGCGAAGAACATGGCGCCTCGTAGCTTTCTCACCATGGCTATTTCAGACGTATCCAGGACTTACCTGGTTTTCAGCGTGTGTACAGGGATGGTGGGTAGCCCCTGAATCACAATGGTCAAGTCCCATCTCACCTTCGCTCCAGCTCGTTATATACATGATCGGACGAACAATTTACAATCTCTTTTCACATCCGTTGTCGAAGTACCCAGGACCGAGAAGCGTGGCCGCTACTCACTTTCCATACTTACGCCAGTTGTTGAATGGAGATCTAACCTTCTGGGTACATGAACTTCACGAAAAATACGGAGATGTGGTCCGAATTTCGCCCAACGAGCTTTCATATAGAACGCCCGAATCCTGGAAGGAGAATTACGGGAGTCGACCAGGACACACACTCCTCCCGAAAGATGAAAACTTCTATAGGCATCCACCAGGAGGTGTCCATAGTATCATTACTGCACCTCACAAACAACATCAGCTCTATCGACGTTTGCTCGCCCATGCGTTTTCCGAGCGCGCGCTACGCGAACAAGAGCCTATCATGAAGACCTACGTCAACCTCCTTATAGAGCAGCTCCACAAGAGAGCCGATGGAGTTACTAGGCTTAACATGGTGGACTGGTATAACTGGACTACATTCGACTTGATAGGAGACCTCTCGTTTGGCGAGCCTTTCGGCTGCCTAGAGGGTGCCAGGTATCATCCGTGGATCGATATGCTTTTCGATTCTATCAAGATGACTGTCTTAGCAGCTGCTGCTGCTCTCATCCCCGCGGGTCAAGTCTTACTTGCTCTTAGTGTCGGGGTCAAAGGCATGAAGATCAGGCAAACCCATATGGACCTTACAGTCGAGAAAGTTGGCAAGCGACTTGAGACAAAGACAAACCGGAATGATTTCATGAAATATGTATTGCGCGAGACCGATGATGGACGGAAGATGACTACGCAGGAAATCATGGCAACATGCTGGCACTTGATTATTGCCGGGTCCGAAACTACAGCCACCCTTCTATCCGGAGTGACGTACTACTTGTTACGCAATCCCAAGGCAATGAAGACTTTGCAAGAAGAAGTTAGAAACGCATTCTCGACTGAGGAAGAGATCAATGTGATGAATGTTGCCGGGCTCAAGTATATGCTCGCTTGTCTAGATGAAGCAATGCGATTGTACCCTCCAGTTTCGGGAGGCCTTCCACGTTCCATTCCACCCGGGGGAGAAACTCTAGGTGGAGTGTATATCCCTGAAGGTGTAAGTACTCGACGCATATGTCGGCTTCAGTTTGATACTAAAATGTGATTGATAGGTACTGGTCTCGACAAGCCACTGGTCTGCATACAGATCTGGAAATTACTGGCATGACCCTTTATCCTTCATTCCTGAGCGTTGGCTGGGTGACAAGCGTTTTGAGTCAGACGTCAAGTCGGCTTTTCAACCATTCTCTTATGGTCCAAGAAACTGCATAGGACGCAAGTAAGGGATACACCGTGCATTTTCGACGGGAGACTTGAGCTAACTTGGATCCAGCTTGGCCTATGTTGAGATGCGGTTGATATTGGCACGACTTATGTGGAATTTTGACATGGAGATATGCGAGGACTCCATCAAGTGGACAGATCAAAAGGTATATGTCTTATGGGACAAGAAGCCGTTGTGGGTAAAAGTTACGGCAGCTCAGCGAGGCTGAAGGAGCAGCGTCAATGGTCTGGCAGCAATAGTGCAACAACTTAGGGTTACTGCCTTTCCGTCGGGGGGAGGATTCCTCGTCTTCTTTCTAGAAGTACAGAGCCTATTGCTACATGACGTGGCCCGCTCCTGATGCCGGGGCACAAACTCTATGAGTCCTAGCACTCAATTACTCTCGCTAATCGAATTAATCGAATTAATCAACAATGAATCAATGAATGCCACCAAAGTAGGCCACTGGACCTTCTCCTTTGACATTCATGTCAAGATTGATGTGGCAATCTCCTCGCTGATAATATCATCCAGAGTTTGAGATCATGTGAGGTAAATTTTGATGGCGACGGGGTTTGACAATGCCCGTTAAAACAATATCCGGGGAATCCCAGCTGTTCCGGGGAGCCGACGGTAGACTGATAGGCCTTATTCAGGCAGTCCCTCTGGAAGTGGAGTTTTCCTCGTCCTCGAACCATTCAGGGCCCTTATAGTCGCAACAGGGTGTTATTCAGGGGTTCCAGAGCTAGGGAGCTCCATCGAGCTTCACATAATCAGATGGCCCGTTTGCGAGAGTCTATCAGACACTTAATCAATCTATTATCGAGGATAGGTAGCTCGAAAGGTTCTTGAAAAATTTTTGAGCCATTCAAGGTCTTGCCTACTCTCTAGACGTTGTCTTAAGATATCCCTGGGCCTGGATGTCGTTTCGAAGCTATTCGGGATCCTGGCCCGAGGCCACAGAGTACCCAGATGGACCAGAATCCTTGACGGGGAAGACTATATCCCGGTACCTAAGAAACCCCTCGGCAAGGGATGAACATTCCCTCAAACGCAACGTTCTTCCCAGTACTCAGTCAATAAATTCGGCCTGGAACTAATTACCACGAGATTCCTTGGCTCATATTACACGACCCAGGAGGAACCATAGACCTGTGTTGTACACGATCGGATCTCGATTGCATCGTAGGCACGCGAAACATTGTCCGCGGGCGTTGTCGCCAAGTTATGATTCCCTATTTAACTTGCGTCCATTCGTTATAAAATTTACAGAGTGCCCCTCAAATCTCAAACCGCGCCTCGCCAGCTCCTTCAAAGGGTCATACGTCAACCGGATTGTGGTCTGGTCGACAGCTTAAAATTCAATGCTTCCAATATTGTTGATATCCCCAGCAGACTAGGTAAACAGCTTGTCTCAAGCGGAAGATTTTTTATGCTGGGACAATGTCATGAATATTTATTGGGAAAGTTCCATCCTTCTGAAATCGAAGATTTAAAGCGGGACCTAGGCTGCTGGCCTTCAAAAGGTGGGAATATGCCACCTGGAGCCTATCCCGGCCATCCCATGGTGAGTTCGCCGTCTGCTACATATCTTGGGGATGGAGCTATACTCTCCCTGTCGTGCGTAGATACTGGGGCTAGGGGAACCTTGTTGACGCCATTGATTATATTGTTGTTGACAGCCGGTCCATTCTCAGTTGTGAAATTGTCCAACGAGTTAATTCTAGCGAGATCTAGTGGAACGATAGTAAAATCCGCAATATTGTCGAACTCAGGTTGAAGAAATAATGGATCTAGGACGTCGAATTCATCGTTGTCGTTGAACCACTTATTAAAAATAGTTTAAGACGAGTTGTCGCCTGAAGTAAGTATGGCATCAAGACCATATCCTAGCGGGGGAAGTCTAGATGCGGATCTTAGATACTTGCTTAGGTGATTATTCGGCTCTTTAAATCCATAGTAATTCAGTGCGTTAACCTCACCAGACTTCGTTCCGACATAAAGGTCAACCTCATTTTGGGTCGATGACCACGTCTTTTTTAGCGGGTCTTTAATACCCACGGGAGCTATACTCTATGCTCTAGTATAAGGCCTTAGGGTAGACCCTAGATCAGATTCTCTCACAGCCGGCCCTTAGGACTAGTCCGGGTCTTCGAAGGTGCTATCTAGAGCACTAGTCATTCGCTCTACCGCGCGATATACTAAACTCATTCCCCTCCTCGCGTCTACCATCCACTTAAGGTGGCGAAGGGGAATAGCCCGCTCCCTAGGGTCTCTAATGTTTACTATGCTAGTAATGAGCGCGGTGGCGGTAGTCCCGGTATAATCTAGTCCGGTAATAAATATCTAACTATCTTAGAACCGTACATAATGGTATTTAAAAATTCTTACTACCCGGACGGCGTTAGTTAAATACACCTTGCGTGACAGAAATGGTAACTAATTAGCTTCGGGATACGATGAATAATCATTAATATTAGTCCCGGAGAGGGTGTTTGTCTCGGCGTCGTGGAATTAAGCGAAAGGACGATGAAGAAGAATAAGAATATAGTAAAATTATTGGCTAAGAAATTAGGTTAGAGCTATATAGTGTTTCATCTTCTTAATAAAGGGTAAATAAGCACTCACTAGAGGAGGAAAAAGCTAGTAGGAGCTATAGATATATTGTTTATCTTCTACCTTAAGTATTGTAGGAGATGAGAATACTATTAGTTAAGCTTACGGTTAAGCGCTACTATACTAAGGTAGGCTTTTAGATCTAGGCGGTTGGCGCTAACTTCTTAAATCTCGCTTATTTTGCTAGTAAGAGTTATGAGTTCAAGTAGAGAGAGAGATATATCTTACCCTTAAGAGTATCGAGTTCTCTACCTAGAATCTTAAGGCTTTTTAAAAGTTAATCTAGGACTATATTAGATGCTTTAAGTATAGTTAGACGCCCTTAAAAGAGAGCCTAATACCTACATAGAGGTTAGTATATATATAGTTGTTCGTCGATAATGGACGTAGTCGTAGGCGGACGACTTACCGATTATATATAATACACGCCCATAAGACTATATACCGCACCTTCACGGTTAATTCTAGTAAGTCTATCTTAGTGCAATCTAGGTTTAACCTAATATCGATTGTAAGCCTACATGTAAAGCCTATAGAGAAAAATCTTAGCGCGAAATTATTAATGCGATGGGATAGAGATGAAAATCCTTACCAATATATATCTATCTAGTATTGTCTCTACCTATAGCGTACTCTAAATCACCGAGAATCAGCAGTACCTAGATACTCGGGAGGCTACCTAGTATCTAGAGCTCATATTCCAGCAGACGTTTAGCCTCTACTTACAATCGACTCTCTCTACCTACGCCCATAAGGAGGCCGTTAACGTCTAGCCGTATTAAATTAGCGAAGCGAATTCCCATTGCAAGGATATAGATATACAATAATGCGCTGTAGTGTACGTATCGTCCTTCTACTTAATCCGCGAGGAAAGCCTCTTTATATACTACGAATAAGACACTATTGTAATATATCTAGTATAAGTCCATAAGATAGTCCTTTATTGCTGGGCTAACGTCCTCTAGAATCGATAGTCTATACCTTTCCTATCCACGGGAGTCTAGTATATATAGTAAGTGTTTTGCCCCCGAATAGATATGAAAGTTAGTCGTAGGTCTAAAATAACGTAGTCGGCCGGAGTTCTCATTATAACTCTAATGGCTATGCGTCGATAAGATATTATTAAGTATACTCTAACCGGAGCTTATTAACTATAGACTAGCGCTAGAAAATACTAGCCGCGTTAATAGCGGTTTTAAGCCCGTTATAGAGTCGCCGACCCTATTTTTATAACGGTTATAAATATCCTAGGCTTAGGTTTTCTTCTCGGTCGGATTAATAACCCCAATAATGTCGGCCTCTAATAGAGGCGAGATATTGCTTCCAGTTCGTGGTCGAATAGATTCTTCAGATTTTGCGGTGTCTTGTTCGTTATTGTTATCGCCAGGCAGTTAAAGCCCCTGCTTCAACAAAAAGTCTTCTAGTGTCCTCATGCGCTCAGACAGCGATTCCATATGAGCTTTTACGACTGGCCTAAAATGACCAGTCAATAAACCTTGGTGTTTGCAACGATGGTATACAGCGAGCGAGACTCACCTTCTCCGTTTGTCATCTTGAATAACACATTCGCTCGAGCTGGCCCGGCAATAATCACACGCTGTTTGGCCCTTTTGTATGATACACTGATGTTTGCATTAGCTGTGCTTTTCCAGTCTCAACAGGGCCGGAGGGTGGCTACCCGACTTCGTCTGGTTCTACAGGCGGCGCAAGCTAGCGACGTGCGACAACGATGTCGTGCAACTCCAGAACCAGTGGTCTTTGTAGGATTCTCGACATTTTCACCCTGAACAGGCGGCGAAGTCGCTGCTTTTTCTGCTTCCATGATGCGTGATAGTAGAACACGTACTATATGCGAAGGCTCATAAGCATGAAAGAAGAGGACAGAAGGTTATCACGATAGAGGAGATAAGAAAGTCACCTTGGGTTTAATTTTCTTGCATCTCAGGCCGCTGCAGTAGGTAGCAAGCTTCACAGGGGTTGCTGTCTCAGCTTAAGTTAGTGCCCATTCCATCCCCCGCATGGAGACGAACTTGATCGAGGCGGGGGAAATGTGGAGCGAGTAAGAATTTCGAGATGACCTATGGTGACTAGCATTGGTTCGAGCAGGTCCCGAGTTCGGAATCTGGTGAGACTAGTCAGAAAATCTCGCTGTGAGGCATTTTACAGGCCTCAAAAGTATTCGTGAAGCAAGAAGCATTTCCTGCGCGCGCAACATGGGCCATCCGGAAGTAGACTGAACTCAAACTGACACAAACTGTCGCAGGATAGGGTATGATCTTGGCGAGCCTTGGGGAAACAACTGTATTAGTAATCCAGCTGTGTGCCTCATATATAACTGCGGGATGGAGTGCCCCCTCCCGCACCTCAAACAATCATAATAAGAAAATAACACTGCTGTTTGCATCAAGATTATCTGACCTTTAATCACTTTAGCACGAACAGTGCGACACCAACTTTCTATGATGCATCAATAGGATACGGGGTATGCACTTGCATAACTTAGGTGCAGGGATGATATTAGGGGCATAAACAAGGGTTGCTGTTGGCGTCAAGACCCTTTTAGCACGTGATAAACTCACACCACGTGATTTACTAGCGCCTTGTGCTCACTAA